TGAAAATGGTCATATTTCCAAAACTCACATACAGATGTATTGCAATTCTGATCAAAATTCAGTGCGTCTCACAGAAATCAGAGAAAATAATTATAAAATTTATTTGGAACCAAAAGAGACCTAGAATAGTAAAGGCAATTCTGGGCATCAAAGGCAAAGCAGAGGGTTATCATGATCCCTGAATTGAAATAAAGCTACTGTAATAAAAACAACATAGTACTGGAAAAAAAAAAGATTCAAAGATCAGTAGAACAGATTAGAAGATACAGAAACAACACCAGACATACTTAGCCATCTTATGCTCGACAAAGGTGCCATAGAGATTCACTGGAAGAAAGACAGCCTCCTTAAAAAAGCTTATGCACAGCAAGAGAAACCACGAACAGAGTGAGGAGACAACCTACAATGTGGGAAAAATGTGTTTGCCAGCTGTTCCTTAGAGAAAGAAATATTACCAAGAACATACAAAGAACTTAAAGAAATCAAACCTCCCAAATTTAAAGACCCAATGTAAAAATGAGCATTGAGATGAATATACACTTCTCAGATGAAGAAGTAGAAATAGCAAATAAATATATGAAAAAATGTTCCACATCATTGGTTGTTCAAGAGATGCAAATGGAAAGAGCACTGAGATTCCATTTCAACCAGGAAATAATGGCTGCCATCAAGAAATCAACCAATAACAAATGCTGGAGGGACTGTGGGGACAAAGAAACTCTTCTCTGTTGTTGGTGTGAGTGTAGACTAGTGCAATCACCATGGTCGTCAATGTGGGGATTCCTCAAAAAACTAGGGCTACCATTCCCACTGTATTCCTCTTCTGGATATCTTCCCAGAAGAATTAAAACATCATACCACGGTGCCATATGTGCACCCATCCTTATTATAGCAGCACAATTTGTAATAGCTAAATATTGGAAACAACTCAAATGCTGATCAACTGAGCAATGGATGAAAAAAAAAAGATGTGGTCATTTTATACAATGGAGTACTACTCAGCCATTAGGAAGGACAAACAGGAGACTTTGTAGGTAAATGGATGTAACCCAAGACCGTACTCAGAAGTGAAATAAACCAAATGCACATATGCAAACATTGAATTTTCTCCCTACTGAGAGAAGCTAAAAGAGTTTTAAATAAGATCTAAAATATACAATAGATATTGTAACATGGGAAGAAACGGTTCAAAAGGAAAGAGAAACTTGGATGGGGAAAGGAGAAAAGAAGAAATGGAAAAATTGAAAGAAAAAAACATACACACACAACAGTTAAGATAGTTATACTATTATTAATTCCTCATTGTTAATTGAAAAAAGATTTGTGCTAGCATTGTTTAGATACTTAAATGTCAATATCTTATACTTTCGGAACTTAATTTAAAGATAACAATACACAATGTATTAACCACTGTTATCCTCCTACCATCTTGTTTTGAAAATTATTTTCAAAGAATTAAAACAATTTTTTAAAGAATATGCCTGTTTTTCAATATTGATATAGAAGTTGGAGGTCTAAAAATTATGCAGCAATAGTCTGGGATCTATCTGGTGATGAATGCAATTAAATATTGCTCATTGCCCCCTCCAAGGTCAAGGTTGTAAATGAAAGTATTTTTAAGTTTTTATTAGAAAGACTTTAAGAATATAAATTGTTATCAACAGCTAAATAGAAGTAGTATGTATTTTTGTCAAATACGTATATACTACCAAAGATAAAATAGTCAACAGGCAGTAAAAGTATCTCACTATACATCTATTCTTTCATTGGGAGTATATTTCTTACTCCTGAAGAATAGGAAACCTCTTTTAAAGCTTGCTAATACCAAAACACAATGGAGGTAAGACATCTTAAATTAGTAGAAATACAACAACGTCCCAGTTTCCTATCTCCACAGCTTACTGTTGAGAACAGGAAGCTCAACTCTCACAAGTAATCAGTTCATGATGCAACAGGATTTTTTAAATACACCGCATAAACTGTGAACTTAGGTTCAAGCTATTCTTTCACTCCTAGCATGAGACCAAGCTATAGAATATGTAGCTTTCATGACTTGAACACAGCTCCCTATCCATGAACCAATGAGACTAAGGTACAAAATGTGCTCAGACATATTAAGGTATATGTTCAGGTAAATTCTGCAGCTTAGTATCAGCTGGAAGCTCTGTGGGAATACTGAGATCAGTTAACATGTAAGTAACTTCTTTTTTATGTTTATTACGACTCAACTGTCTATATCTGCAAGTATGTATGCTTGTTCATTAAAAACTTTTCTTCAATACCTATCAGAATAAAAGGATGATAAGAGACAGCACTTGCCTTCAAGGAACTAACAGATTGATGAATAAGACCTCAAAATAGCTGCAAACAAGGCAGAAAGCAATATCATAAAGTCAAGACATGACTTCAGAAAGGAAGGGGAAAGGGGGTACCAGAAAGGATATGTGAATCAGGCTTTACATGATCACTAACAGCACTATTCACAGCTAGACGACCTCAGTTCCAAATCAGTTACCTTGCAGCTCCCTTAATATTCCACAAATTCAGTTGATCCTCAATTTCTGCATGATACAATCTACTAAAAAATACACATTTACAGGAAGTGGAATGTATTTCTACCAGTTCTCAATGTGATTCTAAGTTTTTATGTGTTACCATGTATATATAAATCACTATATTTAATTTTCCTTTAAGCAGAAAAAATACCAAATAATGAGAAATTTTAAAAAATGCAACCAATACACTATAGAAAATGTATCTTTTATTATTGCTATTGAATTCCAATTATCACTCTTGCAAATAAAGTCTTTCCCAGCTGCTAACATCTTTTTACCTATGTCACCGTAGGAAATACAAAGCATACATACCACACAAACTAGGTACTGAAAAACGACCTGTTTATGTTTGTCTTTTCCCTTTACTCTATGAAATCTGTGTACATTTTCCTGCTTTCAAATACCAACTTTCAACACAAATGGAATGTTAATTAACATTACACACAGGTTAAGCTATCATTCCTCAAATTTAACAAGCAAAAGATAATCAAAACAAAAACCAAGTAGGTTTCCTGTTTCTATTTTTGGATGATTCTGGTGCCCATTTGAGAGGATTGGAATAAAATGTCCAGCTCAGTTATAGCTCATCCTTCCCTCAGTTTATGTACTCAAGGAGACCGTTTCCTTCATCTGCTCTCTTATGACTCTTCTGGGCCACAAAGTCTATTCAAGCTTCTCCCCAGGGCCCCAGAACAACATGTGCAATAACTTCCTAGGGAAACCCAAAGCCTACCTCACCCTTCCCACTAGGGAAACACAGACTCAGCCCTTTCTGGTGTGATTATGTAAGAATACAAGGGGTTGTCCGACCCCACCCAAAGCAGACTCTATTTTTTCAGTATCAACTTGTGCCTCATCTTCTCGAAAGTACTGGTGTATTCTGGGTAAAGAGGAACCAAGCAGAATCTATCAACAATGGCAACGTACATCAAGGATTTTGGGTAAAAAAATAATGTTGGGAATGTAACAAGTTTTACATGTGCAGGTTTCACTATTCATATTCTGAGAGGAGAAGGGGCAAAGGGGAAGCAAAACATTTATAAACAATGTTTTCCAAAGCAAGCTACCTGTTTCACGCAACTTCCAACTTCTTTCCTTAGTTTCTGATCCTCAGTTGAAGCATTATTGAGTTTGAGGAAACAATCTTTTGTTGGGCAAAGTGTTAGCCTCTTGCAAGCACATGCATCAAGTATCAGAAGCAGTCACCCACACATCACTGTGATGACTTATGATGTCACCATATGGTCAACAATGCCTTTTTCGTGGGATAGCACTGCTCGGATTTGAGAACCTCTCTGAGGCTAAACATGGACTACATCTGGAATATTTTTCTCAAAGTGTAATTTAATGAAGGGCTGGCCAAATAGCTCAGTGGACTAAAGTGCTTGCAAGCAGGCACAGGGGCTAGGGGTTCGATCACCAAGCCTGCTGTGCCAGCCCCGCCCCTGGGGATGCACTGAGATGGCAACTGAGACTGGGCGTGGTGGTGCTTGCCTGTAATCCCAGCTCTTGGGAGGCTGTAAACAGGCAGATCACTATGAGTCTGATCTAGTAGTGAGACCCTGAACACCCTGCAGACCCTTCCCTAAAATACAAAAAACGAAAACAAACAACAACAACAACAACAACAAAAGTACCAAGCCATTGCTTGGCTTTTTGAATCTATGCATGATCATACTGTTTATAAAATAGGTATTTCAAAGAAAAGGGATACTGACTCCTGCTTCTTGGTGGCTCTTTTATAGTATGGGTGCATCATTTCACAAAAGTTTATCTCCAAAACAATAAAGACAAATAGAAGCGAATCAAAGTCAACTGCTATTATGATTCTGCATCAGAAGACTCACAGAACAGGCTACTATAACTCATTCTTTACCAGAACAGGCTTAGGGGTTCACTTTCTTTTCTGGCTCAGATGAAGTCTTCACTAGCACTACAAAGGCCATTCAAGTTCACTGTCAATTTTATTTCTTCACAGTCAGCACCACGTTCAAAGGAGGACTTTCACACACTTGGGTCGACCCTCTGGTTGCTTCTTAAGCCAGGATTGTCAGACAGATCAATGTCCTCAGTGCTTTTTAGCTGTGAACTGAGTATCTTACCGTCACTATATGCACAGCTCTGAAAACAGTGGTTATGGTAAAAAGCATTTGGAAACTTGCAACTGATTCCTTTCTAGTGGCTAAGATGCAACAGGCTATTTCTGCAATTGGTCTTGTCCACAACAAACCCAGCCCGGATGTGTCTGTAGTTATAAGCAGAATGCTTTCCTCTTATCCACTACCATAAAAAGAAAAGAAAGAAAGAAAAAAAAAGCGAAGACATTTTTCCCTAGTTGGTACTAACCATAGGCAATAATAACTTCAGAAGCACAGAAGGGCGGGGGTCCTGTCATTCAAAAGAGGAAAAGTAAGATTAATGAAAGGACAGCGCTCTCCTACTCACCACTGAAGTAAGAGCCATCTGAAAACTATAGATGCGGGCAAGGCCAAAGTCAGCCAGCTTTATTTGTCCACTGCTGGTCACCAGAATGTTCTGTGGTTTTAGATCACGATGCACCACTCGGTGAGAATGAAGGAAGTCCAGACCTCGAAGAAGCTGAAACATCATATCCTAAATTAAACAAAAAATAAAGTCAGTAATTGCTCACAACACAAATTCATCATGCTCTGCGTTTGATGCTGAGCCCCCAGCCCTTTGCTGAGTGCACAACACAAAGCAAACACTGGAGAAATATTAGCTGAACGAACTGGTCTTCCTATTTCTCCACTCTCCACTGAGAAGAACACTGTGAAACTTTTCAATCTCAACTTGCATTTTATTAATGAATGGACAACTCAGAATAGTTTTCATTGTCCTAGGAAACGTTCTGGAAGGATATACACCGAGTTGGTGTGAGGGCTACTGGTGGGGAGGGGAAGAAGGAAGAGGCCAGAAAGGTATGCATCTCTCGTTTCATGTGTTGTTTCAACAATGCGGAACTGGTGAACACTCATGATATTATTAATGGTGGTTATGATTTTTATAATGAGCACTACAATAAGCAGGCACTATGTGTCAACTGCCATTCTAAGCACCCTCCACTGAGTAACTTGTTTAATCTGCAACAAATGTTTAGGTAAATAATCTTATCCCTCCATTTTATAGTGAAGTCAGATAACTGTCACAACACCAGCAAGAGACAAAGTCTTAAATCAAATCAGGATCCAGAGAAACTGGGTTTAAATCTCCAGTGTACTCCTTTATTAGGATAATAGGTGTGTAAAATGAGGCCAGCCGCGCAATCTGTCTGACAACAAATGTCTTTCACCTCTAATGAAACCTACTTAGTAGGGGCAGTGGTTACTGCACTATCATTATTAGCCAGTATGAATAAGAGGACAATCATATTTTAGTTCCAATAAAATTAGATACAAAATATGAAGCTCAGAAATAGTTATTTGAAAGTAGGAACCTAGAGCACTGGTCATAATGTTATGGTCTTCTGAAATCTGGAATTGGTAAGAATAACCTACTCTTTAACCTCAATATTGTGAGGGTGGTGCCTATTTCACCCTATTTCATTCCTATCTGAGCTGAAAAAGTGATCACACATCATGTACTTCAGTGCTGACAGGAGTGCGCAGATCCACTTGTTTATTAGCTGAAGCGCCAATTTCTTTCATCAAGAAAGTATAGTATTAGGTTTTGGCTTTTAGTTCCGGTGCTTCCTCTAGAGATGGGAGCTCTGTACTCGTATCCCACTTTGTTAGAAACCAAAGCCTCCATTTTTCCATTTATCAGATGGAGAAAATGACATTTACTTTTCATGGAGAAAGAAGTTTAAGTGAAGTCATGTATGCTAGTGGGAGTGCTGCTTCTGGTGCACGGTAATTCTCAGGATGACCACTGCCTGGACAAGTGGCCTGTTGCCCAGAGGAGACAGATCACAACAACTGTAAGAACGTACATGAATACAGAACAGGACTTTGTCCAGCAGCCAGCCGGTAGGAGCTGGCTTAGTGACTCTTCCTGGCTTCCTCAAGCTGATGATCAATCCTGGATGCTCATCTTTAGGGAGATAAGCATTTGTTCGATCTTTGGTCTTCAGGTCTTGCCCACAGAAGGGGCATCTGTCCCTCTTACAGTTGCAACCTATCTTATCTTTTGTGCTGTCTCCTTGAGGGCACAGTCCTGTGACTTGCTTCCCCATTTGGTCCTGGACTTTCTCAATTTTACCTGAGCAACGGTGCTTGTAATCTCATTGGTTGACCGTAGTTTTGTCCTACCTCATGGTCACCTAAGCGAGTTCCCACGTTCTCCACCTTAGACCCAGATGGTTTTGCACTATAAAAGACCCTGGAAGAGAGAGCTTCCCAGGGACCATCCACTTGGGGCCCCCTTCCTGTCCCTCTCTCAGACAGCTTTCTTTCCTCAATATATATATACTCTGTTCATTTAAAAAAAAAAAAAAAAAAAAAGAATGTACACCAGTGTTCTAAGGTCAGGTTATATGGTGCACGTCTTTGGGGGTCACTTTTGAAATTACCCAAAGCGGATGTTCTCATCTGGCAGGGGTATGTTTTAAGTTTGCCCGAGTGAAAACCCTGGGAGACACAGCACTGGAAACAGACAAGAACTGATGCAGGTCAAATGACAGCAGCAGGAAAATGCAGCATAAATGTTAGAGAAAGTCATCCTTTGCTGTAGCAAACAAGTTTTTATTAGAAACATGCACACAGATTATAAAGCACTGGATTTTTAAAAAGCAGGACAAACCTAAAGTAATGTCACGCTGGCTCATCTTCAGCTTTCTATGCTATAAGCACCAGCCATTTAAAACGGAACCAAGAAAAAAATTTGCTTGGTTCATGAGACAGGGTCCAAACAATTTAAGTAGTCAATTAGCAGCATAAAAATGTGAACTAATTAATAAAAGGCCCATTTAAATTTATATTAAGTATATACTGTTTCTGTGTACTTATATACACAGTACCCACTGCCTTTTTATTGGCTACAGAATTAGTAAAATGAGTATGTCCATGCTTACAGAATCCTATAAATCACATCGAAAATGAAAAAAAAAAAATCACTCAGAAACCCAGTACTGAGAACACAGAAAACTTCATTATTAAATAATAACTTTTGTGGTTCTTTCTAGTCTGTCTTTAAAAAATTACACATACTATCCTATTATCCTATTTGTATGAGTAAATAAAATATACATTTAAATAAAATGGTTATTTGATACACTTTGGTGGCCTTTTAAAAACGTGTCACAAATTATGGCGGATATTCTGTCATTTCAATATGTACTTCTTTATACAGCATGATTTTTAACGGCTATGTAGTTTTCCTCCTTGGGATATGCCATAATTGACAGTATCTGGTTCTAGCTGTGCTAATTTGGCACCCATACTATAGCGTCTACCTCTGATTTGTTTAAAGGTTAGAGAAGAATAGATGATCTGGTAACATTATGTCCAAGCATGAGTTAAGCAGTGTGAATCCCATGACTGCACTAACCATCATTCCATGTTAATGACCCCTAATGCTTGAAGTTTGTTCTATGTTAAAAGTTACCATACAACTGGTTCCAAGTAATAGGATGATATGAATGGGTGAACTACAACAGTACACACATATGAGAAAGCAGCGTTACTTCTGAATCCTAAGAAGGGTTTTGATCAAAGACATTTCAAAGGGTTCTCTACTTAGGCTAATCTGTTGCATCTCAATTTATAGTCTCACGAGACAGACTTTTAAATTAACTCCTCAGGACTTTAATTTAATCTACCCTTTAGAACAGTCAAATACTTCACAGTAAGCCAAGTGACACAACACAATATAAGTAAGGAAATGGTCAACTACAGATCTTTAAATTAAATAGAGGTTTAAAAGTTCCCCTCATGTTTCAAAGTTGTGTGGCACAGAAGTTCTGAATGCTTAGTCATTTGTGGTAAATAGTCACATGAGGCCTTATTCTACCTTGACATGTACCTGAAAGTGTGTTCTGACAGGACACCACTGTGGAATGAAGAATGGCCTTAAGTGTTTTTAAATGGGGCTCTGTGCTTGGCATTGCACAAGACTCTTGGCCTCAGCCCGCGCCTTTCAGCTGTAGTCTTCAAGTCTGTTAACTTTCTTTCAGATATTCTAGAGCTGTAATTTTCTTACTTTTAAAAAACCCAAACAAGCAAACTCAAATAAGCAAACATTAAATTTTTCTAATGGTAAAAAGATTTATGAGATTGAGGTCCTAGTTTCCAACTGTTAACTATGCAGATTAGTTCTTAAAGTACAAAAACATCTAGTTTGTAATATGTAGTAAATCACAGAAAGGAGCCTTCAAACAGACATTTCTGGTATTTGATATATCTAGTTAATCGGAGGAATATGTTTATACCATCATTTTTTTTTTTTTTTTTTGGCGGAACCAGGGATTGAACTCAGACCCTTGCGCTTGCCAGGGAAGCACTTACTCCACTCAGCCATCTCCCCGGCCCCTCAACCATCAAACTTTTGGTTCCAAAATGTGTAACAATTTTTCTATTTAAAGACTGGAAGCAAGACATATACAACATGTACAAAGGACAATCATTGTTTTTTATAATCTGCAAGCCACAGTCTTCAAATTCCTTATCAAAATTTTCACACAACTATCTTCATAATATTTTGTTTCCTTAAAAAGGATGTTTTAGAAATCTCTAGTCTCAGGTGAGATTTTAACTTTTTAAAAAATACCTAACTGATAACAACATACAGACTTGAGGTAGGGATTATGATTATAGAACAGAGGTAAAGATTGCCTGAATCTATGCTGGCCAGTTCCAGCATCTTTTTTCTTATTACCAAAACATATCTTTATTTTTATCTATGTATCTATATATTAATTTTTTAATTGTGGTAAAATGCATAAAACTTATCTTGAACCATTTTAGGTGCATATTCTTTGTTAGGTATATTCACTCTATTGTGCAAAAAATGTCCAGAACTTTTTCATTTTTAAAAACTGAAACCGTACGCCCATCAAACCCAAACTCCTCATTCCCCTTGCCCTTTAGCTCCTGGCATTCATGGTTTATGAATCTGATGACTCCAGGTACATGTGAATTTTATTACATGTCTTTTTGCAGGTAGCTCATTTCATTTAGCTTCATGTTCTCAAATTTCAATCGTACTGTGTTATGTATCAGAACTTACTTTTAAGGCTGAATAATACCCCACTATAGGTAAGCACAATACTTCGTCTATTAACTCATCGATGAAATGAACACGGGCTGTTTCTACTTTCTGGCTATTATGAGTAATGCTAGCATGAGTATCTGAGTACAATTATTGTTTTGTAACCTGTTTTCAATTCTTTCGGATACACACTCCAAAGTCAAATCGTTGAATCTAGCCTTATGGTCTTTGAATACCATAAAGTGTGTTACAAATTGCTGCCTGAGCAATGAAACAGGGAGCACCAAAGCCTAGGAAGGTCCTTGAGTACCCACCAGGTTGGCTCGCTGAGTCTCTGGAGAGTTCATCCCTTGGCTCTCAGGGGATATCTGTACCACGGTCACTCCATGTGGCTTACTGTAGCAAACACTTTGTACTCTGCTTTGAAACTTGATAGGGCTCACTTCTGC